ATAGAGAGATATTCTCATTAAGATGGAATTCACTGACTGAAGCGAAGTTAACCAAACCCGGTCCAATTAATCCAATAACCAGCTTAAACTTCACATGGATATTTTCTCCAACAACTATTGGAACTATTGCATTTCAAATGATGTGATGCTTATGAAACAGATTCATCACAATCGTGTGTCTATTTCATCCTAGACGGCATGCCCCACACCTCACCATGATACCAGACACCCACTAAAATTCCCTTCTTCCAAATCTACCTAAAACGTACTATTTACTATTGGAGCTACGAATTTGGATTATTAATATTATTTTTTTTGAGAGGCTGGATTATTATTCAAGTATATGCTGGTGCAAAGTCTTACTTTAACCTTTTAGCCATTTGGAAAGTTCTGTGCAGCTTTAGACAACCCGCCCTATGACGATGGAGTCGAATCGATTGACCAACAGTACTCTCACCTTCCATGCTTCCATGGTGTGTGAGTGGACGTGGCTGTCTGCCGTTTCTCTGCTTTCAGATTCCAATTTGCCAACTTGTCCAAATTAATTTATAAGTCTGACAGTCCATCTCTCTCTCTCAATAAATGAATGATGCAGCTCCTTATCTTTATTTATTTATTTATTTTTTATAAAGGTGAGCTCTGAACTCTCTAATTGAATGAACTTGACGTAGACAAAGATAAGAGTGGAAAAAAAAATGAAGGTCAAAAGAAAGGAAGCAATTGGTATCTAACTCCGGCAGCTGGGCTCAGGAAAGTAGAAAACGACTGCACCATTTTGTCCATTTCTATTTGTGAGTTGTGACCGGCCCCCTTTTACCTCTAATTTCAGCCCTAGCCACAAGCTTGTTTTTTGTTTATGCGTGTAGTATTTTGTTTCTTAAAAAATTCCTGAAACCAGTGAAATGGTCTCGATACCTAGCTATAGCTAAGCTAACAAGAGTGAGAGAATGGGACACGAAGGAAGCTGCCTTTTAGCTTTTGTTTCGCACTTTTACTAGCAACAACTTGTTGAGGTTCGTTGCATGCTTTCTTGCTTTTCATGTTTCTAAACGTGATTCGTTGGGCAAGTGGGAGAGTTTTGAGTGGAATCAGGCCCTCTTCTTTCTCTTTCAGCCCCCCAATTAATTCTTAGATATCCAGTTAGAATGAAAATCGTATACTTTGATTTTTGAAGATCAAACTTCATCAAGTCAGAGCCACAGACTATGTAACAAGACAAAACTAATTATTGAGCAATAATTTGTCTCTCTCTCTCTCTCTTCAATTGAACAAGGCCCAAAATGGCCCACCTCCCCAGTTCGGATCAGACGTATAATGAGCACTTGAGAATTTTTTTTTGACACCTGTTCCTTAAAATAATCTCGGCCTACCTTAAAAAAAAATTAAAACCCACTTTTAATTAGACCTAGCAATTGGGTTGAATATGTTGGGTTTGGGTTGGGTCAAGACACTTTGGGCTGATTTTGGGTCAAGTTGGCAAATGCTAGACCCTAACAATAATTGAAGATTTAAGAAATAAAGAAAAATACAGAAAAATGTCAAAATTATAGGAATTGGCATTAGAACTCTAAAAATAAAATTAAAAACTTAGGACATTCAACAATTCAAAGAGTAAATACTAAATAATAAAGATTAAATAATGGAAACTTATAACAATACATAAATAGTCTCAATTAGACCTAACAATCGGGTTGGCAGGTTAACCCATTACCCAACCTAACCTATTTTTTTTTTTTTTTTCAGTTTGGGTCGAGTTAGGTCATCCTCACACTCAGGTAGCTAAATATGAGACCCTAACCTTGTTTTTTTGGGTTGGGTCGGGTTTGTAGCATGGTTTTTAAAACCGACCTAGAGATCGAACCGATCAAGGGTCCGATTATCGGGTCGAACGGTTTGACCATTCGAACCAAACACTCGACCCATTCTGACAAAAAAAAAATTAAAATATAAAATGGCCGAAATGGTTCGAACGGTTAACTGCCCGGTTCAACGGTTCATTGACCAAAATCAACGGTTTTAGGGGAAAATCAGGTTTTGGGGAAAATGGAACCGGTTTCCCAATTTTTCCAATCCAACCGTACGGTCTGGTCCGGTTTTAAAAACCATGGTTTGCAGGTTGGGTCAACTTTTTGCCAGGTCTATTTATCTTGTGCCTACTAGATCCGGTCCCCTACCTCCCCCGCTGGTGGTGTTCTATTGGGCGTTAGGACTTGAGCTGCCCATATATAGAAACCGAACCAGCCCCCCACAATGTCTCACACCACATCCCCGCCGTGTATTGGGAACATCTACTGATGATGACATCATCAATATTGGTATTATCATCGGAAGATGTTCCGAATTCATGGCGGGATGTGCTGTGGAATGTGGAACGTTGTGGGGGGCTGATTTGAAATCATATATATAATATTTGAAAAATAAATATTCACTTTTCATTAATATTTTATGATATTTTCTGTATTTAGTACATTTTTATATAACTTAAAATAAATACTCTCTCTTCTCCACTATCGGAATCTGTCTATACATGAGCTCTAACTCTTAGTCTTACCATTGCCACTAAAGAAACGGAACATATATAATTGCATGTTAGCCAGCTAGCAAGTTGCAACTTATCCAGTGAATATTGGTGATTGCTCAAAGAACCAATACCATGACCACTGTTTTGGTTAGTCTCGTTTTGCGGATCATTTCAAGAACAGATGCAAAATTTAAAGTTTGGGCTGTTAAACAAGCTGTCATCGGGCAAAGAGTGGCTTTATAAACAGAACCCACAAGCATCACAAACAACCTCTCTCTCTCTCTCTCTCTAGCTAGATCTCATGACGTTCATGTCATCGTAGTAGATATTATTTTTTATAATTTTCTAAGGGATTCAGATCAAACGAGAATCTTGGGTGTCATGGTATTCCAAACCAGGCGGCTAATTTCGTGATGTCCTTCCCTAATCCCAAGTCTTCCGTGGGGCGGTGGCGCGGCCTCTCTTCAAAGTTTGCAAGCATGCATCACTCATCTCATTTTAATAACTATTGATCACTTGATTTACAATCCAAAGTTCCGTTATTGAAGCAAATTTTGTTAAGAGCAAAAGCATCTCATTAAATTCTTTTCTTTTGACTCAGGAGGGGGAGACAGGTTCCTGTCTCTTGTTTATCTTTTATCTTTAATTTCATCAAATACGTGTTATCTGTGTGATTGCAAGCATCACTCATCTCCCACAATAAATTAATGAAGTAGTAAACAAAGTCTAGTAAGTTTAGTCAAACAATTAAGTGAAGACAAAAAAATATAGTTTAAACATGTAAGACAAGAAACTAAAAGGAAACGAATCAGTAAAGTTATCTACTACTATTAGGCTGCACTTGAAATTCCTTACTTTTAAGCAGTTATCACTTTTTTTGCTGTTAAAACCTCAATTTTCATAATGGCATTTTAACTTCAGAAAGGTTCTTAATATAAGTAATGCCAAATGCAGCGTTAGTCTAACTAAGTTCAATTATATTTTCCTGACAAAATTTTTATGCAATGGTATTGGAAAATTTGATTTCAAATTCAAGATTCGAATTAGATTCATTTACCCCCCTTGTATTGATGATCCTGGTTTGATATTAATTTAAACTCACACCATATTCAAACACAAGAGCCAAAGTGTATACAGGGAAATACGAGACAGTAGCTTAATGTAATGGCCCTTTCAATTTCATTAGACGAAATGGGTACTAGCTATAGGCCTACAGCTAAGTCTTCATCTCGCCAATTGTTTTGTTTGAATTCAGCAGATTGAGAGCCCCCGGCAATACTGTGTTAACTAACAGTTACCATTAAAGAAGCCAGGGGGTGAGCACATGCAAAAGGAAGAAAGCTAAAGAAAGAAGAAGCTTCGGAAATTCGGATTGGAATCCCAGCGGCAAATTTGCATGTGATATTGTAAAGATGAAAAAAAGAAAGCAAAAGAAGAGGAGAAATTAATATAAATGAAATAATTAAGAATTGAGCTTATAGGCGTTGAATAAATGAATTGTCCTGTCTTATGCGTGCAAACAAACAAGTGGAGTGAGGCTTCAAGGTCAATCAAACTTTATTAACCTCCTCTTTATTGTTTGCCAGCAACCGATCGACCAAGAAATTAAATCTAACCCCCGGTTGAGCTATATATTCACTCTCTGATAATTACGCTTTTTCTGGATGCTCCGATGCCGATGCGTCCAAGTTTTGGTGAAGCTTCGAATCCATACTGTGTCAACCTTTCATTTTCTTTTTTTACTTACATATTTTGGCAAGTGGAAACTCGACAGATGAACACAACTCATAAATCCCTTCTTTAATTTACTTACCTACTTATCAAATTAATTAACAATGGTTCCTTATTCTTTAACAAAAACTAATTAATCAATATTAATAAAAAAAGACACAGGCTGACCACTCCAACGCCCATGCCTTCCAAGTTTCAACATTCTCCCATTTCTCTCACCTACTAGTTGTTCGTTTGACTTATTCTCATAATAATTAAATTAAATTAAATTAAAATGATCACACAGGCCACAGCAATTGCAATTTGCAACATCTACACCGATTATATTTATGTTTATATACCACCCATCATCAACTGTATTAGATTTGCTGGATTTAGAGGATTGGATGACTCGTTAAAACGCAGCTTACAGCGTTCTTCTCAGTTCTCGCCTCTCAGTGGACTCTCAATATTAGCTATTGTTTGTTCTTTTCCTCTTGATGCATTAGGGCATTTTCTTTGCCACGTGGCAAGGTGCTGCCAGTTGATAAATAATCTGGATTTTTCATGAGAATCATCCATCCTTGCCAAGTGTCTCTTAGCCTCCCGGCTCCAACCAACCCCAAAGCAAAATTCCCGCTTCTTGTTCACCGTGGAGATCACCCCAACAGATCGCCAATACCAATCCAACAAAAATAAAATACATAGAATTCTTACATATTATTATTGTTATATATTTACATATAAAAGATAGATAAGATAACCGAATTAATCTGCTTACCGAACAACTAACCGGATTAATCAAATTTTAAGGAAAAAATGATTGAAATTAATCAGATCGAACAAATAAAACGCCAGATTACTACTTACTACCTGTTGAATTGAAATCTCTTGGCTAGTCAACAAATTCCTACAATAAACAAACAGTCATATTTCGAAAATCAGAGACCGCTCGAAAACCAACCAAAGAAACAGTGAAACAGTACTCTAAACACCATCTAGTTGTGATCAGTTGCTCTTTTTTAAGTTTTTCAGAATTTCCATCTCACCGTGTCTGAAGAGGACAATGAGCTCCTGAGATTGGAAATTAGAACCTGCCACACTTTAGTTTCTCCGTCTAGACTTCCGCTACAAACTGAAATGGAACCAGACGAGACGCTGTCCGACAAAGCTACTAACGACTTCACCGGCCTCTCGTGGCCTTCCAATACAGTCAAGCAACAAAACCTACTATCCCTTCCCCGTCGCCAAATCCTCACTGTTCGGTCCGACGACCCGCTCACCAGGAAATCTGAAATGTTGACCAAACAAAGTATCGCACCCGTGTGCCCTCTCAAAGCCCCAGTAACGGCCATATGGTGAGCGCTGTCTTCCCTCTCCCACACCAAGATTGAACGATCACAGGCTCCCGAAAACAGAACCGATGCATCAGAGGTTAAAGCCAGCGCGTTAACGGCCGATTTGTGCTTCTCTAACGTGGCTATCAACGTGTGTCGTCTCTCTCCTGACGTTCTTCCCCATACCCTAATGCGTCTGTCCGCTCCGGCCGTGTAAACGGTTCCGTCGACAGAAACAGCAACGGCGTTTATGGCATCTTCGTGCGCTTTCACGGACTCCAAGCAACGGAGATCCGACGCCCGCCATACTTTCAAGCACTTGTCCCAGGAAACGGAGTAGATTAAACCATTTCTGACGGCGAGGCCAGAGACAGCGTCAGCGTGTTCAATCCATAGCCGTTTCTTGTGACGTCTGACGCGGACGTAGTTCTTCGGTAGAACGAAACGGCGGACACGGTCCTTGACGGTGGGAAGCGTCGCCACGTGCTGATGTCGTTTGGTCGGGGTTAGCTGCCAGACTCGGATCTTAGAGTCCTGGTGAGCGGTGAAGGCCTTCCCTTCCGAAAAAGCGAGAGACTTAACGGAACCCGAGGAAGAATTGCCGTTGAATGCATCGATGTGCGCGTAGTTTGTTAGACTGTAGACGTTGATTTCACTGCCCGAGGCGACATAGAGTAGGTCACCGGAGACGGCGAGGCAACCAATACAGGTATTGGGTTTGAGTGAGGAGACGCAGAGGTGGGAGACGGAGACTTGTAGGGATTCCGGGGAGATTTTCTGTAGGGAAGGGACGGAAGGAAGTGTGAGGAGGGAGAGATTGCTCTGTAGAGTACTGCAGCTGGTGTCCTGTGATTGTGAAGCTGTTGAGCTGCTGGGGATTTCGGAGAGGCTGCAGCATGGATCAGAAAGCAAGAGTTTTGGAGACGATGACTGTATATGCTCATTGGAAAGCGGAATGGTCGCTTCGGTGGCGGTGGAAGAACGAGGAAGGGCCGAGATTGTACCTATCCAGGATATCACCTTCATGCCGGCGGGATGAGAGAAAGAGATCGAGGAGCAGGACTGTACGCAATGATATCAGAAAGAGAGGGATTGTTTATGTATGAAACTGGAATAGAGATTATTGGAATGGACAGAGAAGAAAAGCCACGTGGCAAAGAGAAAGAAGGAGAGATAAGAAAATGACTTGGGTCCGAGGTTGAGGACGAGAGGGAGCATGGCAAGATTCTTCTCGTTAGAGTTACTCAACGCAGCCAATAATCACAGTCCTGGGCTTATAGCTCTGCCAGAGTAAAAAACAAAAAATCGATAAAAATGAAGCAAAATATAAAATGAATTGAAAATAAACAGAGTTTACATAGATTATACAAGCACGTATATTCAGATATTATTATAATAGTTAAGATGTGGATCAGGTCCAACCATATATGAAGGAAGCAGAGTTGAATTGTCCTTATCGGATCATATCGGATTCCGGAGGAACATGTACAAAGTTGCAGCGCTAGCGATAAGAGAAGTGGAATTGGAACGAATTAAATGCAGAGGAAGGAAGAAGGATGAGTGATTTGAGTGTTAGATGTTTGATACAAAGATGCACGAGTATGAAAAGGAGATGCATGTGCATTTTCCATGGCTACATTATATATAACAAGGTCAAATCATATAGTGTACGGCCCTGGATACATGTGTCGGTGAGGAAGACTTTCCCTGGCTGTCTCGTATCATTCTTGAAAGCCGATTGCCGAGAGTCAGAGAGAGCCCTGTAAAATATTTAGGCTCCGTTTGTTTGGATACAAATGTTGAATCGAGATATTTATGTATCTCCATTTATATTTGTAAGTGTTTGTTTGATATGTAAAATAGTAATGATTATTAGATGAAAAATATATTTTTTGACATTTTTTGTGTTTTGAGAAGAAAGCATTACTATACTTATTTTTTGAATTCAATTTTGTGTTATTTTGATAATTAATTTTTTTGATTAAAATTAAGGCATTGGAGCATAAAATAGTTGAAGCATTTAATGATAGACTCACACTTTGCACCCAATTCAAACAAACAAGGCGAGTGCAAGAACAACATTCAAAATGTGAATCGTATTGCATTCATAAACCCAAAAAAAAAAAAAACGATAAATATGCAATTTGCACAACACTCCCACATGATTTACACCTCACATCTCATGCATGGCGGGTCCCAGATTTATGATGGGTACAGGTTTTATGATGGGATGTGAAGTGTCGGATCAAACAATGTATACAACGTTTTTAGTTTTTTATTTTTAGAATTAAAAAAAATAATTAATTAACTATATTTCATTATTTGATCACAATGATTGAATATATTATAATTCTATGGATGATCAATCATATCCATAAAGAAATTGAAATTTCTTATTTAATAACTATTTTTTGAATAGATTATATAATGTTTATTTATTTTTATACTTTTTGGAAATGAATAATAAATAATTATTAATTATATTTTCACATTGAAGTTGTGCCAATGCATGTTTTATGGTTGGATAGGAAAGTTGGGTTTTTCCTATCCCATAAAACATTAAAACTTAAGAATTATAGTTAAGCATAGGATTTTTAATGAAATTATAATTAGCTACAATATATTTCTTCATAAACCATTAAAATATATTAATTTAATGTATATACACCTCATTGAGGTCACATATTTAGTGTTGTTGATGTATTTTTATGATTTATTAAAGTATTTATAATGTTTCCAAGCATATCTATGCATATCTTAGTTTTTCTCTGATACGCATGCATATATACAAGGCATATTCCGATACATCTCTTAAAATTGCATTTCCGATACAAATGACGTTTCCGATACTTTGAACCTTGATTGTTGGTATTCGTTTCTCAACTGCAGTTCACAAACACACAAACATGCAAGCCAAAATAAAATTATTTAATTATCCTTTATGTTTCAACCTCCTAAAATACCCTTTAGATTTTGGAAGTTTAGTTTTCGGTATTTTGAGGCTGTTAAGTTAAGGTGGATCGGAAAGGACAAAAAACTATTTTACTCATTGAATTTAGAAATTAAGTTTTAGGTTCCGATTTATTGAAAAAACGCTTCTACATCAGTGTTATATAAGTGTTGGTGTTTATTGTGCATGAAACCAATGCTTGTTTTAATATTTATTAAATAAATACTAAAAAACATAAATGCTTGGAGTTATGTGCATGTGGTATTTAGGGAAATGTCAATTTTATGTTTTCTCCAATTTTCTTGAAATGAAATTCTTATGTGGCATACTTTATTAGGTGTTAATATGAGGTTAAAAATAAGAAATGTTTAAAGTATTGCCCATGTAAACAACAAAATCAAGAAACATATAAAGTAGAGTTTTTCAAATAAACTTTTAAAGCAATAAATAACCCATCTATAAACACCCATAGAACTAAACACCTACATAGTAGAGACACATATTAAAGTGAAAAGCACTTTCCTATTTCCCATTTCAAATAAAATCCTTTTTCAAAAGAAAAGTTCACTGAAATAAATTCAATTATTAGAGCTGTAACGTGGGTTGTGTTACTCGTACGATATGTATCGTGTTGGGCACAATCTGATCAATGTAGCAACTGGATCGTATACTAGGCTTGGATTTTGAGGCCTATGAATCAACGTGGTACAACATCATACACACACACATAGCACACACACACACACACACACATATATATATATATATATATATATATATATATATATATATATATATATATATTACATATATAATGTTATTGTATTTTTTTCAATTTCTTGTTTATCTTGTTAATTTATTTTAACTTTTTAACTTTTTTAAAATAAAAAAAAACATGCCACCCACAGACCGACCTAGGTTCATGTCACAAGCCATGATGGGTTTCCCTTTTGAGTAGGGGTGGCCACGAGCCGAGTTTCTCATGAGCTATTTGAACTCGGCTTAACTTGGTTTAAACCAAGCTTCGAGCCGAACTCGAGCATGATATATAGGCTCATTTGCTAATCGAGCCAAGCTCGAGCCCAGTGAAGCTTGGCTCATGAGCCTAGTATAATAAATAAATATTTATACATATACATATAAACATATATAATAAATAATTTTTATTTTATATAATAATATTTTTATTTTTTATGCATAATAGTAAATAATTTTTATAATTCTTATTTTTTGTATATAAAATAAAAAATTTTTTATATGTATATTTTTTGTTTTTATACGTATAATAATAAATAATTTTTATAATTCTTAATTTTTTGTATGTAAAATAAAAAAATATTTTTTATATTTTTAAAATTGGCTTGTAGTTGAGCTCGAGCTGAACCGAGTTCAAACTTGCGAGCTTTGAATTGAGTCGAGCTTGAATTCAAGTTTCTAGCTCGAATAGAGTTCAAGCTCAAACCTAATACAGTTTTAGCGAGCCGAGCTTGAATAGTGAAGAATTCAGCTCGGCTTGGCTCGAATCCACCCCTACTTTTGAGTGGTTTTGGGATAGTTAGGCACAACCTAGCATGACCCACATTACACCTCTTCCGTGACCTCGGTTATAGTGAAATCATTTGTTACTATAATATCCGATGAATGTATGAATGTATGACATGATCAAGTTGCTGCACATCAGCTTCTTTTAGACGTTATGCTCATGGAATTATACTAATCTGAATTATTCGAAAATAAAAATAAGGTTTACAATTGTTAAAGATGCTTTAAGAGCTAATTCTTCACATCAAATGACTCACCAGTAATTTTCAAAAAAAAAAAAAAAAAGACTCACTAGTATTTGAAATAAGATTTTCATTTTATGAAATGCTATAAAGCAAAGGTATCAACATGTTAAAGGATTAAGAGCTGTTTGAATGAGTCATACATGAAGCTACCCAAGTACTACAAAACTTTATTGACCAACAATCTGGCCTCAATTGCCAAGATAGATGTAGAACTCCCTGAAAGACGGTCAATTGCCACATTTAAAGGGGTCTTCATAAGTTTAGCTGCAATGAGAGGGTATTTTTGTAAGGATGCAAAAAATTGTTGGCTTATATGGATGATATATGAAGACAAAAAAAAAAAAAATAGAGGGGCAGAGGATGCTCATCTTGTTGATTGTTGGTCTCAAAGGAAATAATAGAGTATTTCCAATAATATATTACATTGTAGTGTTTAAAGTAAAAGAATCTAAGTGATGTACATTACCATGTATGATTTGATGAACAATGTCCTAAGGGGTTTGACTATGTTACCAAAAAAGTATACATCCAATCAAAGCTCTTTCAGTACCATATCTTTCTAATATCATAGATTTTCTATTTGAATAGACGATTCAATATCATATTTGAATTGTCGACCAATAATTCTATCCAACATGAATTATGAATATAAATGTAGGTAGGTGAGGGTGTTAAGGTTTAGACCACATGTGTTTCATATGTGGATGATGTGACGAAAATGAATGTACAATCATATACTTATTGTGTCTGGAATATAAATGGCCTTCCATGTGCTCATATGCTTTGGCTTTTATCAGATACATCAGAAGTAAGATTTCAGATTACTATCATAAAACATTCCACCATGATACATACTTAAAATTCTATAGCCATGGGTTCCATGCAATTCCTGTGGAGAAATATTAACCAACATCAAGGTTAACCCATTACAATCCTCCAAAACTCAAGAAACCTAGTAGACCACTAGTTAATTACAACCCATGGCCAATGTGGGAGTAAGCTAGAAAGTTCATTGTGCTAAATGTAATGGGTTTGGACATTATAAGAGGTCCTGTAAAAGTCCTCTTCTAGCCAAGATGGAATCAGCTCCAATCTCTCCTGCATGGGTAATTCTTATCCTATTATCATATGGGATTCTATTATTACCTCATAGTGTTTTGTTTGTTGCATATGTGTTCTTGCATTTTTAGATATCAAATATATGCAGGTTAGCCTTTGGCTTGGTTGTTATAAATGGGCATTAGTTGTGTTATATATGGGTATCCTGCATTAGTTGTGAACTATATGCATGCTAGCTAGTTTTTGTTTGTTATATACGGATATCCTCACATGGCTTATTTTGAACATTTGAGCTAGCCTCTTTGACCAAGTTAACCCATGCATATCATCTTGTATCTTTTGGCTACTTGTTTTTAATTTTTTTGAAACTGGTTCAGAGGGATCGATTTAAGGTTCATTTACCCCTTAAATTAGACCAAACCCCAAAACTCCTTCTATAAGGATGTATCGAGAAATGCCCAACCGATACACTTCGATATGTTGCGTTTTTTT